TAACGGCTGACGAAGACTGACTTAACGACGACGAAGATACCAGTCAGCAACCGAGACTCTACCCGTTCTGAACGGAGGAAGTAGACAGCGCGATGCCATTATAGCACGTCACAGAAAAGGATCCACGAATACGACACCACCAGTGGGAGTTTAATATCAGAAATTGGAACATATCCTCAATCACAGGAAAAGAACAAGAGTTAGTTGATCAGGCCATGAAGCACCAACTCGAAACTGTTGGACTCGCATCAACGAAACGCCATGGCTCTGGACTCCTGAACCTCAACGGATGGAAGATATTCTACTCAGGAGTCGATAGCACGACTCGCGCTCAGGCCTCTGTTGGTGTTCTGGTAGAACAGAACCCTGCTGATAGAATTATTGATTAGAAGCCTGTCAGCGGAAGGGTGGTAACCCTCTGACTGAAGCTACAGCAGGCTAAATCGATGACCCTGGTACATGCAGATGCGCCCAATTTGGAGGGAGAATATGATACCTTCATTGAGGAAGTACAGTGCGCTCTGTCCGAACTGCCGAATACACTCCCTCATACTGATGGGCGATCTTAATGCGCATTTAGGAAAAGACGGTTAAAAGTAGAACGGCGTGATTGGAAAAGACGGCCCTAGCTACCTCAACAATAACGGCATGAAGCTGTTGCGGTTTTGTGCAAACAACGGATCGTCCATTATGAACATTTTCGAGCATCGAAAAGTACACCTGGTACTGGTATGCTTGTGCACAGAAGTCGATGATCGATTTGATAATCATATCGTCTGACTTAAGACGCTCAGTAATGGATATTCGCGTTAAGAAAGGCGCAGAGCAATCAACCGATCATCACCTTGTTGTTGGCACGCTGCGCTATAAGAAATGGAGTACAACACGAAGATCTGGTGGCAGAAGCAACCGGAGAATCAAATGGAAATCATTATCTTCGGTGGACACGAGAGCGAAATTTGCAAACAACATTGCAAAACGGCTTCAACAGATCTCGGTGATGACAACTGATGTGGAAACCGAGTGGCAGGTCTTTAGGAACGGCATATCCAGGCTGCCGCCCAAAGCTGCGAATTTAAACGCGTTGACCTGCCGACTGGAGGTCAGAAAAGGTCTTCCTGCTGGACACGAGAGGAACAACTGGCAGTTAAAGAGAAGGCAGCGTTCAAAAAACGACTTGGAAAAAAGGAACATTTTAATCGGGTGCGATATTTCGAGGCACGCAAGGCGGCAGCGAAAGGAGTGGCGTGCGCCAAAGCTGATTCTTGGGAAAAGTTCGGTGACGTGTTGGAGTCGAACTTCCACAAGGCAAACAAGGTATTCTGGTAGACCATTCGCCGGCTCCGAGGTGAAAAGAAGGACAATCTACGAGTCTTGAAGGATAGGTCTGGAGGCCGTCTTACCAAGAATTAGCGCAATCTTCGGCGACAGAGGGAGTACCTTAAGCAACTCCTTAAAGCCGTTACTTAAGCAACTCCTTAAAGCCTTAAACCGCAGGAAGACTACCCTGCAGAGTAGAAGGGTACGGATATTACTATCTCTGTACATGAAATTGCACAAGCTGTGAAAAGCTTGAAAAATGGAAAAAATGCTGGAATTGACGTAATCCGCCCTGAGATGCTCAATGCTTTAGGCGTACAAGGCATGTGCTAGCTAACACCTGCCTGTCAAACTGCGATGAGTGCGGGTATGACACCAGCGGACTAGAGAACGGGAGTTATTGTGCTCGTATTCAAGAATGGAGGCGACAAGGAATGCTCTAATTATAGGGGTATAACGTTATTGAGTTTCCCAGGTAATGTCTACGCAAAGGTGCTAGAAAAGAGGTGCCGTGAAATAGTTGATGTCAAGATCCAAGAAGAGCAGTGTGGCTTCCGGTACGGTCGAAGCACCTTTGACCAGATATTTGCCCTACGCCAGATTGTTGAGAAATCGTGGGAGTAGGCCCGTCCGGTGCACATCTGTTTTGTGGACGTAGAAAAAACGTATCACCGGATTCCACGCAACAGTCTGTGGACATGCCTTCGTGCATACGGGATAGATGGC